CCATCCATCCATCCATCCATCCATCCATCCATGGTTTCCTTGGGTAGAAACATAACCAATCTGTGTGGATGATCTAGGTGATCTGTCTCTAGATTTCTAGGTTCCCATCAGATGACGTGTTCCAACTAGCTGCTATAGAAAACCAAATGGAACCGAAACAGGAAGGAATAATTAAGCTGAGCTCAAAAGGTTCAAAGAAAAGTCAAACTTACGCAGCCGTTTCCTGCTGGTTGCCATGGTGCCCAAAAGCAGCATAGTGGGGGTAGGACCTGGGACGCTGTGGGTGGGTGGGGCTTTAGGGTCAATCACTGCTAAACCTGATTGGCTGCTGCCTGTGACTGCTCTCTGCGGGCTCCCATCCACCTGTCGGCTGCGGTCAAGGAGATCGCGGCCAAAGAAAGCCTCCTGGACAGAGAGGCAGAGGACCAATGGGAGCGCTGGACTCTAGAGGGAGGCGGAGCTTAAAGTGGGAATGACAGCATTACCTGTAGGTACGACGGGAATGACTCCTCCAGCTTTGTCTTTTTCTTCCTGTATCTTTTCTTTACTTTTTCCATTGCCTGTTCAGCTGCAGACATGGTCTCCATGGCAACATCAGTCTCCAACACACCTGAGAGGTAACCAAGGATAAGGCTGTGATATCCACTATTGGAAAGGTTATAGTTACTTCTCCCTTAGAGTAACTCAGTGGTCAGTTAGTTTTAGGATCTAAAATGCTGGAATGATGAATTTGGAAAACGTTCCTGTTTGATATCAATGTGAAAAGCTTTGATTTATTCACCAAGTTACGCCTTCATTTCATGAGGAAACTGCAGCAGAAACCCTGCAATGTTTGCAGCAGTCAGTGGTGAGATCAGGCGTTTCATTTTTTCAGTAACGCCATCATTGAATCGGCGGCTCTCCTTTATTATAAACCGCCGTAGATGTTCTGATATCAGCATAGAAACACTTCATCCTATCTAGAAATAAGTTCTATGCTCTTTTCTACAATGGAAGTGATGTTTTAGAGCAGTGAAAAATGTTCCTGCTGCTCTGATAAAACCCAGTCAGTCCAGTAATCAGTGAACATTATTGGTCCATATTTACTGAAATTAACCGTTAGAAGCTGAAATTAGAAGCTGGCTGTTTTCTTTAGTCCGCCAGACTAACAGACACCAGTTCCAAGTCTGACAGAGAATGAAAGGCTGTCTTACCAGTATCTCGACTCGGCATCATGTCTGATGAATCCTTCCTGCCCAGTCCGGCTTTACCTCCACGCTGCCGCACCATAAAGCCTCCGATACCTGAGGACGAGACGGGAGGGAGTCAGGAGGACAAGGTGTGGGCAGGGGAGCTGAGAGGGGTCAAACTGCTCCATGCTTGCCTATTTTATTACTGTTTTTACCTTCTTACTGCTTTGCCAAAGGTACAGAAAGTCGGCTAAAACTAAACTTCAAGGATTCTCTTGTCAGACTACTTTTGAATCATTTTCATGTTATTTTGATCCCACTGAAGAGAAGCACCAGTCAACATCAGCACCAGATGCCTCCCATCTCCACAACGGACCCCGACTCGCTTCTACAAAAAGATGTCGTGGAAATGAAAACTAACCAACGAGAAGTCATGGAAATATTACGACCCTGCCGGTGTCTCAACACACTCAGATATGACAATAACCAGACCAGGACCTGGGAAAATCCTGGAGCAAAGAACAAACAATCCAACCCAGACCTGGAAAGATGTCTGACCAGGCCAACGCCACATTTAGATCATAAAACCCGGCAGAGACTTCAAAGAAACATCTTTTATTTCAAACAAAAAAAAACAAGAAAAACCGAAACGGTGGATGTTGACTGAAGCATCTGAAATTTCAAAGAGGATCCCGCAGACCACAGCTTGGAGACCTGAATGATGTTAGTGAGAAGAAGTCAGGAAAATTAAAGGAGACCAGATTAGCCGCTTAACGAGACACAGAGCGTTTAACGGTGGGATTTCCTTCAGCAGGAACATCCGTTTCACACCTGAATAAATCAGTTGGCTTTTTGATAACTCTTCTGGGAAAAGAAACTCCTCTTTAATAAGAGTCAATTCTATTCTATTCAGTTTAGTTCTATAGCTCCAATTTACATCATGTCATCTCAGGTCCCTTTATAGAGATTCAACCCCACATGTGATTTTTCTGCTCTCTGACTTAAAGTTCCCTACCGACACACAGACGTCCCTGTTCTTCAGGTGGGATTTAAACCAGAAACATAGACCCAGTTTTCCAGAAGCTGTAATAAAATCCAGTGATCAACAGAAACAAACGTTGGATTGAGGTCCAATAATTTCAGAACTGTGGTTCTTCCTTTCTTTCCCCAGCCTTCTATTGCCATTCCACTGCCACGGGTACGGAGCACCATAACTCCCTCTCTGCATTTAACCCCTCCCCTTGGGGAGCAGGGTGGAGTTAAGGGTCTTGCTCAGGGACCCAGAGTGGCAGTCTGTGGGAGTTGAACTCAGAACCTCTTTGGAGAGCGAGATCATCTGTGGTAGCAGCTCTAGACATCTTCCAGGCATGAGAGGAAAACTAGCAGCAGCTCAGCTACAGGATGGATGAACGGTAGCCGGCGCGCGCTGATGATGTCATTCACGCGCCGCTTCGTTTTTAAACCATAAATATAATATATATGGGGGCCAGTGATTGGCCTCCATGTTCTGAATGCTGGCGTACCATAAAGAATAAATGATGAACAGTTTAGTTT